TTTTAGGAGCTTAGATGGAATAGGGTCTAACATACATGTTGTTGGTTTAGATGATTTAACAAGTTTATACAATTTTTCCTCTCCTATAGTAAAGAATGAGTGGAATTGTTCCTCAGGGGATCTATAGCGCACTGATGCGATACTGTAGCTGACGGCTGTATGGTTACAATTTTATCTCTAATAGTATTGATCTTGGAAGTAAAGTAGTTCAAGTCATTACTGCTGTGCTGTTGAGAAATGTCATCACCTGTTGATGCTTTATTTTTTGTTCATTTAGCCACTGTATTGAATAAATACCTGGGTTTATGTTTGTTTTCTTCTCAAAGAGATGAAAAGTAATCGGATCTAGCAGTTTTTAATGCTTTTCTGTAGGATTGGGTACTTTCCCACCATGCAGTACGAAATACCTCTAGTTTTGTTTTCCTCCAGCTGCGCTCCATTTTCCGGGCTGCTCTCTTTAGGGTGCGAGTGTGCTCATTATACCACGGTGTCAGACTGTTTTCCCTAATCTTCCTTAAGCGTAAAGTAGCAACTGTATCTAAAATGCTAGAAAAGAGAGAGTCCATAGTTTCTGTTACATCATCAAGTTGTTTTGAACTATTGGATATGCTGAGGAATTGAGATAGATCAGGAAGATTACTTGCAAAGCAGTCTTTTGTGGTAGAAGTGATGCTTTATCTGCAGCTTGCACTAACTCTGATATAAAATCAGCAAATTCTTTAACAAAGTCTGTATGGTGCCCTGGTGGCCTGTATACAGTAGCCAGTACAAACATTATAGGGGATTTATCATTAACACTTGTTTCTCTGGATAATGTTATATGAAGCACCATTACTTCAAACGAGTTATACTTGAAGCCCGCCCTCTGAGAAATACCGAAAATATTGTTATAAATTGTAACACCTCCCCATTTACCTTTTGGACGCTGCTCATGATTATAACAGTAACCTTGGGGGGTAGACTCGTTTAAAATAATATAATCATCAGGTTTTAGCCAGGTTTCTGTCAAACAGAGCACATCTAGGTTATGATCAGTGATCATATCATTTACAAAAAGTGCTTTCGTAGAAAGGGACCTGATATTCAATAAGCCAAGCTTTATAATTTGTTTCTCTGTATTATATACATTTTTTATTTGTTCATACATTTGTTCATTGTTCATACAGTAAAAATCACTTGTAACCAAAACAGCTTTGTTACCAACAGTCTTCAAAATACCTTCTTTTATGTTCCACTAAAGAACGGTTTTAAACGGGATTATTATTTACCAGTAATATCCCAGTCTACTTTTCACAATTTAGTTATAGGGATAGTTCACCCAAAATGAAAACTCATGTAATTTCTTCTGTTGAACATGAAAGAAGATATTTTGAAGAATGTTGGTAACCAAACAGTTGTTGGTAGCCATTGACTTCCATAGTAGGGGGAAAAAATACAGTGGAAGTCTATGGCTACCAGCAAATGAACATGCTTTGTCTTGTTGACTTGTTGATCTGTTTCTGTCTTTTATTGGTTGTTTATACTATTTATACAGGTATATTGTTGTCATCTAGTTGTCTCTTAAGCATAGATAAACTGTTTGGTGGGTGATTGTGTGTGTGTGTTCAGGCTCTGGCCGATGAGAACGAGTATGTGCGAGACACGGCCCTGCGCGCCGGCCAGCGCATCATCAGCATGTATGCCGAGACTGCCATCGCTCTGCTGCTGCCAGAGCTGGAGCAGGGCCTGTTTGACGACCTCTGGAGAATCAGGTACCAAACATCTGCCCTCCATCACTTCAGAGGACGGCTGCCATAGCGATGGATGCTGATGCTGAGTGTTTGTGTTCTCTTAGATTTAGCTCGGTGCAGTTGCTAGGCGACCTGCTGTTCCATATCTCCGGGGTAACGGGAAAGATGACAACAGAGACGGCATCAGAGGATGACAATTTTGGCACGGCCCAGTCGACTAAGGTAACCGTAATGAGCCTCTGGAACAGACCACAGGACAGCGTCTGACGGCAGTGCTTTCATTACAAGACCAAAATATATCCCTTGCTTCCTGTTGTGTCCCAGGAAACTTTGTGTGTAAATGTTTGTAATATATTTCCCCAGGCCATTATTGGAGCACTGGGTGCAGAGAGACGCAACCGTGTGCTTTCTGGGCTCTACATGGGCCGCTCAGACATACAGCTGGTGGTCAGACAGGCGTCTCTTCACGTGTGGAAGATTGTGGTGTCGAACACGCCGCGAACGCTACGAGAAATCCTGCCCACCCTCTTCACGCTGCTGCTGGGCTTCCTGGCCTCCACCTGCCCAGACAAGAGAACGGTACAATCCAACGACAAACTGCAGTCCCTTTTGATTCTGTGGCCTGCAAAAGATGTGTTTGTTTTTTTGGAAATTTGCTTCCATGTTAACTAGATGTGTGTATTTTGCATCATACTAAGCGTGCTTTAATTTATTGTTTCATGCATTTATTGTCTTTTTTATGTTAATTAAGAAGTAATTCATTTTAAGAAAATGTTTTCTTTCCAAATATTAAAGAAAATAATGTTTGTAATAGAAAATTATGTATGATGGATCAGTCCATGTTTCGCTACAGAAAAATTTGAATGCCTCCATTGCTTATGCTGTTCATGTTGTGTTTCTAGATCGCTGCTCGTACTTTAGGTGACCTGGTGAAGAAACTGGGTGAGAAGATCCTGCCTGAAATCATTCCCATCCTGGAGGAGGGTCTGCGCTCGGATAAGAGCGACGAGAGGCAGGGTGTGTGTATCGGCCTCAGCGAGATCATGAAGTCCACCAGCAAAGATGCAGTGAGTTGCAGCTGATGAAATATGCTCAGCGGGTTCCTTCTGTTCACGTCATCATGGTGAAGCGGTGTTTTTGTGTCAGGTTCTGGTGTTCTCCGAGTCTCTGGTTCCCACCGTGCGTAAGGCCCTGTGTGATCCTCTGGAGGAGGTTCGTGAAGCGGCTGCCAAAACCTTCGAGCAGCTCCACACCACCATCGGTCACCAGGCCCTCGACGACATCCTGCCTACACTGCTCAAACAACTGGTACTGCCTCCATCCCACAATCCTCGCCTTTACTTTGAGAAAATAAAGAAAGGATAGACATTAAAAAAATTAATAAGCAACAAAACAGTATTAAAGGGATAGTTCACCCAAAAATAAAAATTTATTTACTGACCCTCCACTTGTTCCAAACCTGTGTGAGTTTGGTTGGTAAGCAAACAGTTGCCGGTTGCCATTGACTTTCATAGTATTTTTTTCCGTACTGTGGCAGGCAATGGCTACCGTCAACTGTTCGGTTACCAACATTCTTCAAAATATATTTTTTTGTTTGTGTTTAACAGCTGAAAGAAATTCATACAGGTTGAGGGTGCGTAAATTATGACAGAATTGTCGCTTTTGGGTTAACTCTCCTTTTAAGAAACAAAAAAAATAAATAAGAAAACAAAGATAAATAATGTAAGTTATGCTCAGTAGATCTAATATACATATACTTCAATTCAAATGTTTGGGTTTTTGAATGAAGACTCTTCTGCTCACCGAAGCAGCATTTATTTTATCAAGAATACAGTAAAAATTGTCAAATAATATTGCAATTTATAATAACTGTTTTCTATTTGAATATATTGTAAAATGTAATTTATTCCTGTTGATCAAAGTTGAATTTTCAGCATCATTACTCCAGTCTTCAGTGTCACATGATCCTTAAGAAATCATTCTAATATGCTGATTAAGAAACATTTCTGGTTATTAAATAAATAAATACAGTACTGTTAGTTCTCTACTTCTCAATTGCCAGTGTCCATCTATCCAGGCTGCTTCAAAACAGTATGTATGGTGAACTCAAATGTGTTTGCTTTTTGTTGCAGGAGGACGAGGAGACGTCAGAGTTTGCGTTGGATGGATTGAAACAGGTCATGGCTGTGAAGAGTCGATCTGTCCTGCCTTACCTGGTGCCTAAGGTGAGTTCTCTTTACTAGCAGCCTTTCTCAACTAATCTGTGCATAAACAAAGATTAATAACCTTGTATATCCAGACTTTTGAATAACAAAGTCAGTATAACAAAAGCTCTTTTTTTTGGCCAAGAACTGACCACTTAGACAGGAAGAGACTGTCTTACTGACATTTAAAGTGACCAACCACAGTTTATTTACGATGTTTTGTTAAGATTAAGCTCTTGATATTTGAAAGATTTGATCTCACAAACCTTGAAAAATGTGTCAAACTTGTGCCGCTCATTATATCCACCCAATACCTCGCACATCCAACCAGTGTTATATTAGTATAATTGATGTACTAATATTGTTTTTCTTAATATTTTGAATTAGATTTTAATTTTATATTTTCTGTTTTCACTTTAGTTGTAGTTAAAATTAAAAAGTTCTAATTAAATTTTTAGTTAAAAATAAAATTATTTTATTTCAGTTTGTTTTTCATGTAACAAATGTTTTTTGACTTTATGCATGCTGAATCCAAGAAATTGCATAAAGCCAGCCAATCAGAATGGATCTTTCTGTTTTCAGAAAGCTCTAGTTGTTATTGTGTGCATCAGACCGTCTGTGGGCGTCTCTCAGACCGAGACTAGAATATTCCTTGCACTTGTTTAACTGTTAAATTTGGACTCTATTTCAGATAGTGTTATTTAACTCTTTATTTTTATCCTCTGTAGCTGACGGCTCCTCCTGTAAACACGCGTGTCCTCGCCTTCCTGTCTGCTGTGGCAGGAGACGCTCTGACGCGACACCTCGGGGTGATTCTGCCCGCGCTGCTCTCCTCTCTCAAAGACAAGCTGGGCTCAGAGGAGTGCCTGCAGGTGAACACCACAGCTGTCAATCATTTCTACTAAATCCATTACTGGTCAAAAATACTGGAATAATTAAGATATTTTAATGTTTTTGATAGGGCTGCCCTCGACTAAGGATTTTTCTGTTCGACTAGTAGTCGTTCATTTTGAGAATTAGTCGACTAATCGCACGTTTATTAATAAACCATTTAAATCATTATAATGAGCCTTTAATTGCCTACATAGCCTATCAGTGCTCAAGCACATGCTTAAAGCTTTCCACAGCGCACCGGCAGAAGTAATGATTATGAATGTGTCAGGGAAAAAACAGTAAGGAGACTGCATTAACATTTTAATAATTTGATTAACTAGTGCTTTCTTTGTTTTCGGTTTAAGAAATGAAGTCGGAGACACTGACACTGACTCGTCATCTCCGCAGTAGTGATGCGCCTGTGTGCATGCTTCATACGGATTACATAATCGGAGAATATTTGTTTTCCATTTGAATTGGTTCATTTGAAAGTAGACATTTCACTCGATATATTTGTAATGTCTGCAAGGCAAAGATATACACGGAGTTTCGCGCTCAAGTTCACAGAGACGAGACGGTTTGCTTTCATTATTTTACAAAAGCGCGTTTTGTTGTTGTTGTGAGTGCACACAAATAAACGTAGAGTCTTTACATTCTCTGAGTCTCTGTGATTAGTCGACTATTAGGTTGCAGCTCTAGTTTTTGAAAGAAGTCTTTTCTCCTCACCAATAGGCTTGCTGCGATAGACTGTGTTTTCGGTTATACCGGTGTTAAGCCGCAACACCGGTTACGTCATTTGCCTACCGCGGCACCACCCCCCACCGTCGTTTTGATTTTTTTATAGTAAAGCCTAGTTCAGTTAGAGGATAGACACTGTTAAAAACTAAATACTCAATGCAGCGTGCCGAACCGTGCGCGAACGACAGTGCACCACGGAGCAGGAGTCAGATTTTATTTATCACGTGAGGAGAGTGAGTCGAGCTGACTGACAAGAGTGAGGTGAAACCGGTGGGAAAATTTCCTCAACGTCACAACCCTACTCACCAATGCTGCATTTATTTGATCAAAAATTAATTATAATTTGAAATGTTATTACAATTCAAGTGTTTTCTATTTGAATATATTTTAAAATGTAATTTATTCCATGATTTCTGAAGGATCATTCTAATATGCTGATTTGCTGCTCAAGAAACATTTATTATTATTAATATTATCAATGTTGAAAACGGTTGTATTGCTAATTTGCTTCGTGTTTTTGTGGAAACATTGATACATTACCATTCAAAGGTTTGGGGTAAGATTTTAAAAAATAAATAAAAAGAAGAAAAGATATTAACACACTCAGCAAAGAACCATTAATAAAAAAAAAACGTGACAGTAATATTGTAATATTACAATTGTATAATCATTACAAAAGATTTCAAATAAATGCTGTTCTTTTGAACTTTCTATTCATCAAAGAATCCTGAAAAATAAAATGTATCATGGTTTCCACAAAAAATATGAAGCAGCACAACTGTTTTCAACATTGATAATCGTCAGAAATGTTTATGAACAGCAAATCAGCATATTAGAATAATTTCTGAAGGATCATGTGACACTGAAGACGGGAGTAATGATGCTGAAAATTCAGCTTTGATCACAGCAATAAATTACATTTTGCAATATATTTCATTTCAAGACAGTTATTTTAAGTTGTAATATTATTTCACAATTTTTACTGTATTTTTGATCAAGTAAATGGAGACTTGTTGTGCAGAAGAGACTTGGACTCCAGAAGAGACCTCATTTTGACCAATAATACACACACTCCACTTTTTCTGCAACAGAAATGATCAGGAATCAGAATTGTTTGACAGTGTAAATATGATGTTTCCGGTCTTCTGCAGGAGCTGAGCAACTGTCAGACTGTGGTCCTCTCGGTGGAGGATGAAGTGGGCCAGAGAATCATCATTGAGGATCTGCTGGAGGCCACACGAGGAGCAGACGCTGGGCTGAGGCAGGCGTCTGTCACCATCCTCAACGGATACTTCTCTCGAACACGGCTGGACTACAGCGCTCACACGCGCAGGCTGCTGTCTGGCCTCATGCGGCTCATGAACGACCCCAACCCTGAGGTGCTCAACCAGAGCTGGGACACCATCAACTCCATCACAAAGGTAAAATTAAAACCGAAATGAAATCAAATTAAAGCTAAATAGAAATATAAAAATAGAAAATACTTTAAAGATTAAAAAAATGATGCCTTAAATGTTGCCTTGTCAACTAACTGAAATATGTTGCAAGTGCTAAAATTACAAAAAAACAAAAAAAAACTAGAATTAACATAAATTTTTTTTTAAAAAATAAGCTAATTCAAAAGAAGAAGAATAAATACTGTAATAGTATAGGAATAATCCTGCAGTAGCACTGATGTGACATGCTGTGTATTTTTCCTCAGGGAGTGACGTGTATTCTCCCCGTGCTGAGGGAGGGCGTGCTGACAGGAAGTCCCGAGCAGAAAGAGGAGGCGGCTCGTGCGCTGGGCGGAGTCATTAAACTGACATCAGCGGAGGCGCTGCGGCCCTCTGTGGTCAACATCACCGGACCGCTCATCCGTATCCTAGGAGACCGTTTCGCTTGGACTGTGAAGACGGCTCTGCTGGAGACGCTCACTCTGCTGCTGGCCAAAGTCAGTGTCCATCACGCCTCCGTCCTCATGTTGATGAAGACCACTCATAACTCACGCTCATATCTCCTCTCTCTTGTGTGCAGGTGGGCATCGCTCTGAAACCCTTCCTGCCACAGCTCCAGACCACCTTCCTGAAGGCCCTCCAGGACTCCAGCCGGGCCGTGAGGCTGCGGGCAGCAGAGTCTCTGGGTCAGCTGGTCTCCATACACACTAAAGTAGATCCACTGTTCACAGAACAGCTGTTGGCCATACGCAACGCAGAGGACTCTGGAGTCAGGTAAAAACACAAAAAAACAAATGCACACTTCTGCAGCAGTTATGGCATGACGATTGCAAATACAGTACTGTACTGAAAAAAGTCTCTTCTGCTCAACACGGCTGCATTTATTTGATCAAAAATGCAGTAAAATCAGTAATATTGTGCTACAGCGCTCACACGCGCAGGCTGCTGTCTGGCCTCATGCGGCTCATGAACGACCCCAACCCTGAGGTGCTCAGCCAGAGCTGGGACACCATCAACTCCATCACAAAGGTAAGCGTTGCTTTCATCCGTGTGCATCAGTGGAACTTCTCAAAGTCCTTGTTTTTACCTGGTATTATCATCTGTTTCATGTGATCCAATCGCAAGCCACAAGTAAACTAGTTTTTTATGATCCTTGATCTGCTAGTAAGGTGGAGATGTTTTAAATAACATCTCAGGTGTCGAATTCAGTAGCAAAAACAAGTTATATATATATATACACACACACACACACATATATATATATATATATATATATATATATACTCACTGCGCAGGTGGGCATCGCTCTGAAACCCTTCCTGCCGCAGCTCCAGACCACCTTCCTGAAGGCCCTCCAGGACTCCAGCCGGGCCGTGAGGCTGCGGGCAGCAGAGTCTCTGGGTCAGCTGGTCTCCATACACACTAAAGTAGATCCACTGTTCACAGAACAGCTGTTGGCCATACGCAACGCAGAGGACTCTGGAGTCAGGTAAAAACACAAAAAAACAAATGCACACTTCTGCAGCAGTTATGGCATGACGATTGCAAATACAGTACTGTACTGAAAAAAGTCTCTTCTGCTCAACACGGCTGCATTTATTTGATCAAAAATGCAGTAAAATCAGTAATATTGTGAAAATATTATTACACTTTAAAAGAACCATTTTCTATTTGAATATACTTTAAAATATAATTTATTCCTGTGATGCAAAGCTGAATTTTCAGCATCATTACTCCAGTCTTCAGTGTGTATTAAAATGTTTGTAAGAAAATATGACAATATTTTGCTGTATATACATTACTGTTTAGAAGTTTGGAGTCAGTGATTTTTTAAAAGAATTTAATTTCGGATTTTAATTATCAAAAGTGACTGTAAAGTCATTTATAATGTTAGAAAAGATTTCTATTTCAAATAAAAAACACTGTTCTTTTAACCTTTTGTGTTCATCAAAGAATCCAGAAAAATTTAATTTATCACGGTTTACACAAAAAATATTCGGCTGTTTTCAACGTTCATAATAATCAGAAATATTAAGCAACAAGTCAGCATATTAGAATGATTTCTGAAGGATCATGTGACACTGAAGACTGGAGTAATGATGCTGAAAATTCAACATTGATCACAAGCAATAAATTGCATTCTACAATACATTTATAAAAAACAGTTATTTTAAATAGTAATATAATTTCATAATTTTTACTGCATTTTTGATCAAATAAATGCAGCCTTGATGAGCATAAGAGACTTCTTTAAAAAGTAATAAAAATCTTACTGATCCCAAACTTTTGAACGGCAATCAGTGTCACATGATCCTTCAGAAATCATTCTGATTTGCTGCTGCTCAAGAAACATAATATCACTGAAATAATTAAATTATCATCAAAGTTAAACACAGGTGTGCTGCTTAAGGCACTTTTTAGGATTCTTTGATGGATAGAAAGTTCAAAAGAGCAGCATTTATTTTTGTACTTTCACACTTGATAAATTTAATGCATCCGTGCTAATAAAAGTATTAATTTTCTTACCTAGTAGTTGAATATGAAATATTGGTTTATGTTTAAATAATTTTATTAGGTAAAAAATAAAGTGCAGAGTGATGAGAAATGAAACTAAAACTATGCAGGAAATAGTATTTGTGTACTGGTGTAATGAGCAATTTTACGGTTAAATGCTTATTATAACAGAATGACACCAATCAGAATTAAGTATCCCAGAGAGCCACAGATACAGACAAATTTGTGGCCACCCTTGAAAAAATAAATGATTTTTGAAAGTAGTCTGAAATTATTTCTGTTTTTTTTTTTATCAAACATTTGACTTTATAAGACTAGCTAGCAGTAGCTAATCATTCATAACCGCTATAGTTTTTGCCAAATTAATTAGTCACTTAGTATTAATTATTATTAGCTCTTGCTCATAATTAAGGTTTCTGTTGTATTTTCTGTAGAGAAAAGTTATTTTGTGCTTGTCAGTCACTCTGTTATTGTCTTTATTCTGCAGGGAGACGATGTTGCAGGCCCTGCGCTTCGTCATCCAGGGTGCAGGGGCAAAAGTCGACCCCACCATCAGGAAGAACATCACCACCACACTGCTGGGCATGCTGGGACATGATGAGGTACAGCTACTGTTTTATTTATTTATATATATATATATATATATATATATACAGGGATTGAAATTAACTTTTTCACTCACCAGCCAATTTGGCTACTAAATTTTTAAGTTACCGGCCATTCATAACTTCTACTATCTGAAGGATCATGTGACACTGAAGACTGGAGTAATGATGCTGAAAATTCAACATTGATCACAAGCAATAAATTGCATTCTACAATACATTTATAAAAAACAGTTATTTTAAATAGTAATATAATTTCATAATTTTTACTGCATTTTTGATCAAATAAATGCAGCCTTGGTGAGCAGAAGTGACTTCTTTCTCCTATATTTATTGCTTGAGTTATGCTACTACCAGGATTTAAACAAGAAATAATGAAATATGACTGGTATTGTCGTTTGGTCGATACAGTTCTCATAACTTCACTGTGTTTGTGCAGAAACTGGATGCTGGCAGTCAGCTGTCCTTGATTGATGACCTACACAGGGACATCCGCTCTGCTGCCGCTGAGGTCAGAGGTCAACACCTACCTGGCTTCTGTCTGCCCAAGAAGGTAAGAATCACTTACAGAGACAAACTACAGAGCAAAAGTCAGCACGTCACCTCTGAGAGCACATAATCAATATGGAAGTGTTCAGAATGACACGCTGCCTAATATTTGTGGAAAAATTAGTATGCGGTTTGGAATACCCAGTTAGCCTATTACATATGACAAAATATACTCAGCTGTCATAAATGAACTGGAGCAGCTGTGATTTTTAACTTTTTCTTCTTTGACTCATTATTTGACAGGACAGCCAAAAGTTTTTACACGAGATTCAAAATTCAAAACAACAGTTTTTATTGTAAAGATTATAACTGGATGCCACTTGCTGAATAAAACTTGGCATGCCAGTGATGCCAGTTGATAACATTGTCAAACTACTGCACACCATTTCACATACCGGTACTATATTTATTAGGTTGTAGTAGTAAGTATACAGCATGTATGTGGCAGTAAGAAAAAAAAAACAGAAAAGCAAAGTATTCCATTCCAGCAATTCTTTATGAAAATGAAAGTGTCATTATTGTAAACAAACTATTGTTAATAATTGTCTGTAATTGAATTAATTTTAGAATAAAATTAAATATTAATAATAATGAACAAGTATTAGCTAATGTTCAACTTTAACTGAAATGCAAATAGGTTTAGGTTGAAGTACTAAAATTACTAAAACAAAAATGTATTATATATAAAGCTAAATAGTTATAAAAAAAAAATATATATTACACCAACAGCTTGAGGCTGTCTAAACTGAACATGACAAAGCGACCGTTGCAAATCATTTTGTGTCAGTACTAGGGGTGTGCGATATTGACAAAAAATAATATTTCAATATTTTCTGGGATTTTATCGATAAAGATAATTTGACGATATTTTGCTGAGTGTGTTATTGTGCTGATATCTTAAGGACTACCGTGGACAGCTGACTCCTAAAGTTTTTGATATATTTCATATTCTGTGTGGGCAGTTCACAGCAGTGATAGAAATTAATGTTTTTCAATAAGTTTAAATTGATTTTCACCTTTTATGGGCATTTTTACCTTTATAAAGCCATTTTTTT